GGGTAAAGAATGTTCTCTGGAAAACAATACTCATGGGAAAACGACATTCAGTTCCTTCCTACCGGGATCCCTCAAATAATAGGAAGCGATGAGGAATCAATTGAGAATTCTGTGTTCTCTTGGGGGAAAAAACGTAAAACAACATTCAAAGAAACCCTCTAAATAGATGTGTTCAAAAAATCATGCCCATGAAAGTCCTTGGAAATCACCACAGTATCTTTAAAAAATTACTAAATTTAGCCACATATGGAAATCTAAACAGTTTTTCAAATATATTTTGATTATTGAACCAACATTCATGTACCATGTACAAAGCAGCAGACTTTTCCATGGCCCTTTCAGATAACAATCTTTACCCTCGCGACAACCCAATAAGAAAGGTCTCATTACAGAGGAGAAAACGGAGGTATGGGGAGGCTAAGTAAATGACCTATGGCCACAGCCACGCCTAAGTGGCAGGATTAGGATTTGAACCCAGGAACCCTGCCTCCACACTCTCTACTCTCAAGTATTATGCAGTTTAAAAAGTTTTCTGAAAGGATCAACCAAGAAAGTGAGAAGTAAAGCTACAGATGGTCTCTGCATACAGAATTGGAAGTTTTAAATGTGACCACAGTGAGCCCAGATTCTCTCTTGCAGTGAGGATTCTATTTTTACCAGGCTCTCTGAAACACACAATGCTTGGGTGCCGCCTGAAAAAGTGAGAAGTCATTTGGCAAACTATGGAGGTTATTCAGATACACTCTCAAAGCTGGCGTGCTCACTTATTTAAGGCCGGAACAGAGGTGTAGAGAAAAACAGAAGGCCTCTCTACTCCAAAATATGGGTCTTTCTCACCAGTTCTAACAATTGCAGAGTTATTTGGGTTAACAAGATCCTCTCTTGGGATGTAAATATCCTGGAATATGGTTTGAGTTGTGTCAACTATGCCTTAATGATGTACATTGTTTTAATTGGACCAACACATCCCAGAACCCTCTCGGGTGTTTTTATTATGTTAGGGAGGGAGAGAAAAAAAATATACAATGAATCTGATTTTCAGCATTTTCATCTTTTTGTTTCCCTCCTCATCTCTATCCAAAAGATGATTCCTGTCCCAGCCTCTGAAACCAAACCTGTGGCTATGTAGTGTTTGCGAAACAGTTTCCAGGGCTCCTGGCCCCACTTGGACTTACACCGGGGTTCTTGTAGCAAGGTCCTTACCTTATTCCTCAGAGCCTGCGTCTCTGCGCAGATAACTTGCCCTAGGGTGCTAGCTTTTCCAAGACTGAGGATGTGCCCTGCTTTACCCAGCCTTCTGTGGAACGCCACGCCTGGAGCAGCTGGGACTCTGTCACACCTGCAGGGGCATGGAGGACCTCTGCATGGCTTCCCCCTCACCCCGCTGGCTGCAGCACCCACCCATTGCCCTGGCTGTGTGGGTTCAACTCTCTTCCCCCTCTGCACAGGACCTGTCTTTCCAGCACCTGGCAGTCCCCAAGCATCTGCCCCCTCACTAGCAAGAGTGTCTGGTCTCTAGAGCCTGGCCTTTCCACATCCAGCCTGATGGGACTCTCAGTGCTGGCTTTACCCTGGAATCAGCTGTTCACGTATGCAGATGCTTGAGTCACATCCAGAGTCATTAAATCTGACTCTCTAGGGGTGGGGCCGGGGTCCTGGTGTGTTTAAAAGTTTACCTTGTATTCATTCACCCAGGGATGAGAGACACTACTTTACATCAATTTCTCTCAAGTTTCAGCATGTTTACACACAGCCTGGGGATGTTGTGAAAATGCACATGCTGCTCAGTAGGTCTGGGTGGGGCCTCAGGTTTTGCATGTCTACCAAGATCCTAAGTGATGACGTTAAGGTTGGTCCATGGACTGCTTTTCTAAGTGGCAAGGCCCAAGACCAGCGGTTCTCAAAGTGTGGTCAAGAATCACCTGGAAACTTGTTTAGGATGCAAAATTTCAGACCCTGCTAGATGTACTGATTCAGACACTCTGTGGTGGACACAGCAATCCGTTTTTACAAAGTTCCCAGGTCAGCGATGCTCACTACCTTTCAAGAACCATTGGCCCACGTGGCACGGCCCAGTGGAAATATAACACAAGTCACATATGTAAGTTTAAATTTGCTAGCGGTCAGATTTGAAAAAGTAAAAAAGAAACAGATGAAATTAATTTTAACAAAATATCCTATTTAACACAAGATGTCCAAAATATTGTCAAACACATGAAAATTAATGTGATGATTTGCGTTCTTTTTTCAACATGCAGTCAATATAAAAATGATGATCATTTACATATTTTAGAAAGAGAAAAAATTTGTTTTTATTTGTACAAATTTGTGAGACACAAGGATAACTTTGCTACATGGGTATACTGCGTAGGTAGTAAAGTCAGATTTAATGAGTGTATCCACCACCTGAAAAATGAACATCATACCCACTGAGTAATTTCTCATCATTCACCTTTGTGTGTGTGTGTGTAAAAATCTGGCATGCGTTTTACACTCACGTGACATTTCCGTTCTGAATAGCCACATTTTAGGAGCTCAGTAGCCACCTGTAGCCGCCGTATTGGATGGCAAAGCTTTACACCTAGAGCAGTGATGATGGAACTGACTTCCATCGGTTGCTTGCTGTGTGTCAGACATTACTCAGTTAAGCATTTTATGTGCATTATTCGTATGAGCCCTGTGACAGCTCATTATCATTCTCATTTTATATGAGGGCGGCTTATGCCAAGGTCCTTTTTAGTGTTCACCAAGATACAAGAAATCTACTCCAATGTAAACCTGTTCAAATTATTCTATATTTTAAAAATTCGTTTATTTAGATGTATATATTTTAGAGACAAGGTCTCACTCTGGTGACCAGGCTGGTTGAGTGGCGTGATCATAGCTCAGCTGTAACCTCAAACTCATGGGCACACAAGATCCCCCCACCTCAGCTTCCTGAGGGCTGAGACTGCAGGCACATGCCACCACATACAGCTATTTTTTTTTTTTTTTTTGAGTGAGGGGGGTCTTGGTATCTTACCCATGCTGGCTTCTAAATCCTGGGCTCCAATGGTCCTCACACCTCAGCCTCCCAAAGTGCTGGGATTACAGGTGTGAGCCACCACACAGGGCCCAAATTATTTTAAATATACTTCTTTGTGAAATAGAAAAAAGAGAAATAACAAAGAAAAATGTTTTGTTGTTGTTGTTTGTTTTTTGTTTTTGTTTTTGTTTTTGAGATGGAGTTTCACTCTTGTTACCCAGGCTGGAGTACAATGGTGTGATCTAAGCTCACTGCAACCTCTGCCTCCCAGTTTCAAAGGATTCTCTTGCCTCAGCCTCCAGAGCAGCTGGGACTACAGGCACCTGCCACCACACCCAGTTAATTTTTATATTTTTAGTAGAGACAGGGTTTCACCATGTTGGCCAGGCTGGTCTCAAACTCCTGACCTCGTGATCCACCTGCCTCGGCCTCCCAAAGTGCTGGGATTACAGGCATGAGACACCGTGCATGGTAAAATATAGTTTTAACATAAGGTCTGTTGAGCCAAAGGATTTCACTATTTTGAAATAGCGCTTGAAATAGTAGTCAGGCAACCATTTTTTTTTTACATGTCATAATCCTCAGTATTTTCCATAATCAATTTCAGTGTCTTTCCTTAACTGCAAAGAAAGAATTGAATTATATGAGCATCTAGCAACCATCCCTCACGTTAATTGTGAAATATATCAGGGCGGTTTTTTATACTGGATTCAGGTTGAAGACTTTCTTCATCTCCCGATGGCAAGCCTCTCAGGAGTACTTTCTGACTACCTAAGCATTCTTTTTGTATTGGGGAGTAGGGAGTTGAAAGGAAACGGATTTTATCTACATGCAGTGGAAGCTTTCGTAAAAATACTTAACTGCTTCTTTGGTAGAAAGTAACTAATTTTCCTTCCTGGTGGTGGTGTGAAGGCATAAGGACTCAATGGAAGCCTGAAGTTGGTCTGTGACGCATAGTATCTTCCTTCATCCACAGTAGAAAGAGGTCTCAGTCTTCAGCTTCCATGATGTGAATAGCTTCATCATGTGAAAAAGTCTGTAAAACATTTAAAAAATTCTGTTTTTGTTTATTCTTGCTGCATCTGTGTGCCGTGTACCCCTGAAGGCAAGGACACTTCATTTTGCCAACCACTGTATTCTCAGAGTGCTTGGCTTATAGTAAGCTCTGAGGTGTTTGACAAACAAATATTTGCTGAATGAATGAATGAATACAACTTCTTAATTTTTAATTCCAGAAACAAAAGGAAAGCTCCAAGTTTGTCAGTCATTGCCAGTGACCCAACCAGAATGATTTCTTCACTGGCCTGTGGAGGCAGAAGCAGGGGTCATTGTTTGTCTGCCTCATGTCACTGAATGGCCCCCAGTCTCTGCCAATAGATAAGAGATGTCAACACTTATCCCGGTAGCTTTCAAAAATAGCATAGTTAATGAAACTGGAAATTTAGGTGCATGCTAGAAAGAAAGTATCTGTCTCCAATCTTAAGAACAGACTAGCAGCAGATAACTGCTACCAGTGAGCTCTCCAGTATTTCTTCACAGCCCGTTCTAAGCAAGCCAGGAAATCTCAGCAGAAAAGTCTTCCTTCTCCATAAAGCATAACTAGGACATCTCATTTTCAATGAGTCAGGTAATTCATCTCGAAAACTTGAGGAGGATGGCAGGGCACTGTGTTTCTTTAAGATTCCAGTCAAGTTTGGGTTTGTTTTGTTTTCAGTGGGGCTGGCAGTTTTCCTCAAAATTTAATGAATATTTGCACAATGAACCAAGTTGTTGTGGGTTTCCTGGCTGGTGTGTTTTTCCCCCCTGGAGTGGGGGGTGGCGATCCGGGCAAGGGATTTTTTCATCCCTCTGCAGACAACCCCGGCTGCTGTGAACGCTGCAAATAGCTCCAATGCTTTCGGAACGGTGGCACCACCCAGCAGCTGGGATTCTTTCCCTCTCTTATTTGCCACTCTCTTGCCTTTTTTTCCTTCAGACACTTGGATTGGACTTAATCTTAAACCTCTGGAGTTCAAGACCTTTTAAAAAGGGCTAAATAAACAATCTCTACAAGGAAAAGGCCACTGACTCCTACTTCCTCTGTGTAGAGCAACTGTTGAACTCAGCTGCCTGTAGGTAAGATTTCTTATTCCAGAATTATTTAATTGTTTTCTGATATGTTCATGACGAATGTCTTTAAAATAACTTATTTGTAGTGAAAATAATAAAGGGGAGTTGTGAACAGTTCCCAGATAAATATTGTGTTCCAGAATAGAGCAGGAACATCGGGGCGCTTTTGTGGCTGTCATTTTAAACTTTGCTTAAAGTTCTCAGACCAGTGACCTGCAGTACGGACCTCACTGTGACTGGACCCTGGATCAGAGGTCTAATTAAGCCGGATTGCCAAAGCAATGAGAGGATCTTTCAGACATCATCCTTTTGTTGTTTAGACTGCTTTATTTTTAACTTTCCAGGGGCATTTAAAAAAAAAGGAAAAAGATGCAACCATCCACCTAAGTAAAGAGAACATAGATAAGTAATTGTTCTCTAAGGGCAGTGAGAGGGCTGTATTGTATGACGTTCTCCTTTCATTCCTGTTTTGCTCATTGCTAGTGTAGAATTAGTGGTTGTTTGGGGGCATTTGGGGGTTTTGTTTTGGTTGTCGTTGTTTTCTATGTTCCTAGCACATTCTAGGGGGCTGTTTTGAGGATTCCTTACTAAGCTGAATATCTTTTGCCAGGTATAGTTGCTGGCAGATTTCTCTGATGTGACAGTGTGGTATTTTGGGTCAGTTTTGGCGGCTCCCCTCTCGCCCTCTGTATGGCTGCGCTTGACATTTTGCAAAGTACTTTGATCTGTGGACTTTAACTTCAAACACGGCGTTCACTTTGATTGTGGCTATTTACTATGTTCACTGAAAAGTCTCCTTTTTTTTTTTCATTTGGTTTCATGCTTTGATAGCATTTCCTTTGAATAATTGATTGGAGCTTTGGTTTTCCTCACTGATGCATCTTAGATTTTACTTCTAGAGGGACGCCCAATTGAAAGAAAAGTGTTCTCTGGTAAGGTTCTCCCCGACATTGACTTCATGGCAGTTCGTGGCCCCTGCCTGGCAGTTGTCTCAGAGGAAGCAGCAGATGACGGTGTACAGAGCCTGGCCCTGGCTGCCCTGCTGCCTCCGCATCTCCGTGTGCCTTGGGACCCAACTGGTACTTTTTTAAAACATGGATGTCGAAATCTTTGGAGTTCAGAGATTTTTTTCTCCAGAAAAGTTTATTGGTATCGCAGACCACATGTCAAAGGAAAGCATGAATTTTAACCACATAATGATATTCTGAGTAACCAAAAAAAAAAAAAAAAAAAAAAAGAGGAAGAAAAAACAACCAGAAAGAAAAAGAAAATTAAAATCAAAAGAAAACTGGGGGAAAAAGCCCTCAGTAGCCGGAAGTCTATTTTATGAGGGAAACTTCTGCTGTGTCAGGGATCAGGGATTTCTTAAAAATGTGTTTCATAAAATGGGCAACACGTAGCACTTACCATTCAGTCAACTTGGAAATATTCTCTTCGTTGTAAAGAAAGCACAAGGGCATATCACATTTGTTCCCTTTTCCTTGCCCACCCCAAGCACGAGGTATTTCCAAAGTCCTCAGCCAAATACAGAGTTTGACGTTCCCCGGCAAACCGTCCCTGCGTGCTCTGTTGAAGGTTAGGAAGAGAATGAGCCTAATCCTGTCAGGAGACTGTTTAAGTCCCAGTCAAGGACGATGGCTCCTCAGCGCTGACGCAGTCTGCCCCCTGTCCTCTGCACCTTGCTAAGAAGGACAGACATAAGTGGCCACAAGGACATTCTCCAAAGGGGCGGAGCTGCGGGGAAAGATACGGCAGAGATCCCCCTGGATTAGGGGCAGATGCAATGGAATCTCCAGAATTTGGAGATGTTCAGTACAATTTCGTAATTTCCCAAACCTAGGCATGTCATTGCTACTTTTCCCCTTCAAATCTACAATCTAAGAAGCATGTTAATCATCGCATTGATGTGTACAGTTAACATTTTAAATCCTCCCGTTATTTTGAGTCTGGGCTTTGTGGGAGAGAGGGTTTAGCTAGAATACTCGCCCCTGCTAGGTACAGGAAGGCTTGCTCTGGCAGTGCTGAGTGCAAATATATGCTAGAGGCAAGTCCAGCAGCAAATTACACAGCACCAGGATGACCCCTATTTGGAGAACGGTAGGTGACCATTCCATTCCCAGGCAAGCCATGTTTTTCCTGTTTTTTGTTTTCTCTCTGGTTCTCTTCACCCGTTAATTTTACTTGGAAACCCTGGATTGTTTGAATGTGAAACTGCAGGTGAAATCTAGCCAAAGCCACTAGTTTCACACAGGCTCCACATGAAAGAAGCATTCTACCCAGCCTTGCACGAAACTTGGTGGGTGTTGCCAAAGGCTTCATGAATGTCAGTCAGCCTGGATTTGAAACATGACCCAAGGCCAGGTGACTTCTGGTGACTTTGAGGCTCTATTGTATTAGCATAGAATCTGCCGAACAAGGGCAGCCCTGTTTCCGCATCTTCTACTGTAGTTTCATGGGTGAACACTTCTTTCCCCAATAAACTCCCATTTATCTCATGATCACTGAAAGCCAGGTTCAGTCCTAACATGAATGGTTGTAGCTGTGGTATTGGAGCATGGGCAGATAGAGGTCTGCATTTTAAATTCCAGCAGGCTGATCCCCAGTGGTGTGAACGTGTTGGTAGAATTCATCTGAAGGAAGGAAGTCCCGGGAGAGCCATGGAATGTCTTTCTTTGCTTAAATATACCTCTGTGCTCGTGAGGAACAAACAGTAACATTTTGCCCAGGTCTGTCCGCTCGACAGTGTGCCTTTTGTTCGCTCTCCGAAGGTGGTGTCAAATATATTGGTGGAAAAATAATAAACTTCCAGATATTTTTTTTCTGCCTGCTCAACTGATATACTCCAAGGGAACATTGTAAGCATTGAGAAGTCCACTCCTGCGGCTGGGAACGTAAGGGATACTGAGAATAAAGGAGCCCTCAGCAGAGGCAATGTCCCTCAGAAAAGCATGGCGACCTAGAGTTTATGTGGGTGTTAGCAGTCAGGTGGGACCTGGTTGGGAAGGTGTGCACGTGTGTTTTCTGGGTGGGTGTACTAGTGAACAGAGAGGAAGAGGAGGATTTGTCAGCTTTGTTCAGCAAATCTGTCACATCAAAAACAAAAATAATCAAACCCAGGAGCTGAAAGCATTCCTTTCTTTTGTAGATCATATAAATTTATGTTGGCTGAATATTGAAATTTTTCGGATTATTTTTTCTCATTAGAGGCACCAAGTGTTAGGATTCCAGGCATAGTAAATAATCTCCAATGAAAATATGACCCACTGGGAGACCTGAATTGTTGCAGATAAACTCCCATGGGTCAGTCTCCGGAAGGTCCTCATGGTTCTCTGACAGTTATGAAATGCTAAGCCAACCAGGACACTAAGATTTGACTTGTCCTTTTCTTAATTGGAAGATTTTTAAACTCATATGAAGAATTTTCACAAAAATGAATTTGCAGCCTCACCAAAGATTTACACTGTCTTTGGTGAGATGTATAGATGTAGATTCATTCTTTGAACCTATATGTAGATTCAAATTAAATTACCATCAAATTTCATTTTAAAATTTTATAATCACTTATTTATTAAATAAAATTGACTTTCATTAAAGATATAGTTTGCATGTTAGCAGGTGACGTGCAGTGGACGGCCTATCAGGGAAAGCATTTGAAAAGCTATTGCAATAATGTAATTCAGAAGTGCTATATGTAGAAGCCACTTTTTCACACTGGCTTCACTAGTCATAGTGTAGCATCTATTCAGCGTGTATGATTTTGATATCCACAGACTGGTACAATGAGCAGAGAAAAGGAAGATGTTCAAATGTAGGTTCTAGAGAAAATCATTCAGAACCATCCTATAAGGAAGCTCTCACTGAATGTATCAAGGTGTAAGAAGTTCAGTACTTTTAAGTCATTCATCATCCATAGCAAAACAGCAAAAGGGAAACAATAGGCCAGGTGCGGTGGCTCACACCTGTAACCCCAGCCCTTTGGAAGGCCAAGGCAGGTGGATCACTTGAGGTCAGGGGCTCAAGACCACCTGACCACCATGGTGAAACCCCGTCTATACTTAAAAAAAAAAAATTTAAAATTAGCCAGGCATGGTGCTGCACACTTGTAATCCCAGCTACTTGGGAGGCTGAAGCGTGAGAATCGTTTGAACCCAGGAGGCGGATGTTGCAGTGGACCGAGATCCCACCATTGCACTCCAGCCTGGACAGCAAGAGTGAAACTCTGTCTCAAAAAAACAGGGATAAAAATGCCAACTTGAGAATCCACACCAAGCTAGAGTATGTGCAAATGTTTCTCTAAATCATTAAAAATCTTATTTCAAGGAGACGTCATTTGTCATCTAAAAAATCAGTGCCTTAAAAATCTTTTTGTGCTTAATTGACTGTCAGGAAAAAATGGAGTCCATGTAATCTTTATTTATTTCTCAAGGACATATTACAGCCTAAATTTACATATTCAATATACTTGTTTTCTTTTCTAAAAAAAAAAAATCAGTATCTGTGTGATCAGGACATGACGACACAAAACAGTAGCAGCAGCAGGCTCCCCTGGTAGAACAAAGAGGATTATTTCTCAGAAGCAGATTACACAGTCGTTTCCGGAAGTCATCATTCTCCAACCAAGTTTTTATTAGTTATTTGGATATTATGTTTTTCTCCAAAATAAGAAGTAGTAGAGCCTGACCATCCCTACTCTAAAAGTCTGAAATTCAAAATGTTCCAAAATCTGAAACATTTTGAGCCCCACCAACATGATGCCACCAATGGACAATGAAGATGATGTCAACACTGTGGAAACTACACATACAGATGCCATGGTGACAATGTGATGGGCTAATCGAAGGAATACAGCAGAGTGCATTCATAACAGAACAGGGAAACATGTCTGTTTATAAACTCAAAGAGAGACTTCTAAGACAAAAATCGCTCTTAAAGGGGCAGAGGACTCTGGAGAAAACATTTTAAAAGCCATCCAGCAGAATGCCTCCTCATTTCTTAGAGGACCCGTG